CGCAGTACTGTGTGTTCTTGGTGGAAACGCATATTTCACATATTGCAGCTACCAATACACATGATGACTACAATTATTTCTCAACTATTTTTCATGTTCATCATCTATTAGTCTAGAACATTAATTAGTGCTTTATTGTTTCCGCTCATATAATTTCTTAGCACTTAATTACTTGAATTGTGGATATGAGTTCCTACAACTTCGGTTAGTCGATTATTACATAACGAATAAATTAAGTTATTGCATGTTCTCAAAAAGTAAAAATGAGAGAGTGGATGGCGACAATATACTGGAATATTGGTGATGGTAGGAGTTCATCAATACTTTAGTGTAGCCATATCATAAGCCCTAGCTGCTCTCTGTTCTTTATCATATCTACCTAGTCACCAAACAACGCCTGAAAACAATAAGAGAAAAAGAGTCTTAGCTTCCATGGGAAAGTAAGGACACGATACAATATATAGTCAAACTCACCTAGATACATCATAAGGAAATTCAAACGATTTTGGATCCAAAAAATCAAATGAAGAAGTTAGTTATTTTCAAAGATCAAATAAATAAAAGCCACAACATTTGCGAAAAGCTACTCATGCTATATCCACCTAGTAACCAGAAGCTGGTTTCCTAAAAAAGGAATGCCTCTGAAATTGAATGAAGTTTGTATACCTTGACATCCTTTTCTTGATTCCCCTCTATTTTATAACTATTGTTCCATAAATAAGCTTCATATCTTCTTTTCTATCTATGTCAGTATAAAGGTAATTCAAAGATCAAACAATGAGCTTCATATTGCCCCCACTGTTCATAACTTTCTTCCAAGTACAAACAAATGGACTATAGATCAAATGTAGCATCTTGTGACGATTAAAGTCAAAACAAAAACTTGAAGAATAAGACCAACTTCAAGAACACCAAGACTCGAATCTATCGTTATCTTTCTACTCTTTTATTTATCAAATTCAACTTTAAACAGTCAATAGAAGGCCACTAAAAGATGGGTCAAGTATTGCTTGTGCTTCAAGCACTTCAACTTTGATTTGTGCATAAGAAAATATTGTAATTACAAAGCATACAAAACACCCTAATCAAATCCTCGATTGCTGAAATTTTGAATCAAAATGTAACAAAGATCAGCAAGATTCTTAAACACAGCTGTGCTATGATTATTATTTATGTATAATTGTAGTTGCTAAAAAGATGAAATAATAAAATAACAGGTAAATAGATGAAACTAACACCCAAATTGGACAAATGAAAATAATAAATGCAAAACAAAATATAATAAGAAACAAATGCATCTAACACCCCAATTGAACATAAATAGGAATCATTTGAAGCAAACCATATAGGCTTCAATTGACCATTTTAACCAACAAAGAAAACCCCACAAAAACATGGAAGTTCAAAATTCTATTGAAAGGGAGAAATTAAAGAAATTATTATTGGCCCTCATCAGAAGCGGGAGGAGGAACTTGTTCGCCAACCAGGGTATCAAAGCAATACACCACCATTTCCTTATTAGTAGACACCATTTCTGTTTTTTATCCTGTAATTTATTGTTGATGATTCTATTATAAAATGTGATCAACAACAACAAATTCCGATCATGAAGTTATGATTAAATTTATAATATAAAAAAATAAATGAGAATCAACAAATTAGGGTTACGTGTAATCAACTAATCATAACGAATCAAAGCATCACAAAAAACAATGGATACAAAGACGATTTCGGGTCAAATATATAAGATTGTACAAAATGTAAAACAATATGGATTTGCAGAAACATAGAGGATGAAGAAAGCCATAACCATTGTTATGCTGGTAAGAACCGCACAAAACTACCGAGAATGGAAGAAGAGAACAGAAACAGACGTCAATTTTGTTCATTTGGGTTTAAATAGGAACATAATCTTCGATTTGGGAGTGAAATCAAAAGAACCGAAGCTTCAACCGACATCTTGGAAAGCGATGTTTTTAAAACGTTTATTAAATATACTTTATAAGGTAATATATATTCACATCTTTTATACCTTAATTCATAATTTTTATTTCAAATGTTTATCTTAATTATAAATTATAAATTATATTTATAAATTTTCTTGGAAGTCACACTTCCACCCCCATATTCTTATATTTTGGCCTCATTACATAATTACTACATTCCTATAACGTATAATATATAACTTAATTGTTAATAGTCTTGTTTATATAAAATAATAATAATAATAATAGGGAAAAACCATATCAAAATTGTAATTGTTTGCCTTAAAAATTATAACTACATTCTAAAAAGTTAAAAGCCAGGTATCTTTTGACTTTTTATCTAAAGCTCCCAAAAATACCATATATGGTTTTTTTTTTTTTTTGAATTTTATCCCATCTTCTAGCCTCATGCTAAAATCTACAAAATTATTAATGTTATTAATCTATTTCGTAAACAAAGTAATTGCATGAAATGAAAGATTTTGTCAGATAGATATGAATAGCCCTAAGGTTGTAGGGACTTAAGTAATCCATGTGATTCCCCTACTACATGAAAGTCTAAAAGTGTCTTTGCGATTTGTTTTCGAATATTGAAATATTGATATAGCATTATCAGAAAAAAAAAAATGTTTGAAAATACAAATATTTAACAATCCTATTCTACCATGATAATGATACTTCATGTGCATCACAAATTTTTTCTTATAAATTAAAATATCTTATCTCTTATTTCTGTAGATGGCTGAACCAACTTGTAACATCCCACTTTCCACATTTGCATATAAACATGAACTTCATATAAATAGAAATACAAATTACATTACATTGGTCCCAATAGTACAAGAAACTTTTATTACATGTATAACAATATGTATTCCTAAAAATCCATTATATAACAGGGTGATCTTCAAAACAACAGATATGCATATTAGAAAAATAATTACATTTTTCCATTGCCCTTATCCATGGACCCAGCTGAACCTGCAATGCATATTTTAAAACACAAAATAACGGTTAGACCTTGAAGTCTAATGAGATAACCCTTTCTTTGCAATTACGGGGTGATGATCACCAAAACCTGTTTAAAACTCGCATTTAAATACTCAATTACTTTAAATAAATATAACTTCAGTAAAACAAATTTCAAGTTACAAAACGATCTTACCACATAAGAAGAATAACCACTCAGGTTTTACAGTCACCTGGAATACAACTTTCAAAGCTCACAAGTCTCAACTGATTAGAGCTTATAACCTCCACGATCATATAAAAGAATACCAAGAAATAACAATCACCAGATTTCTTGGTTATTATCAAAAAAATTTAAGATACAACCAGATTTAAATTTAAATGAAAACTAATTAAATAAAAACCAAGACCCTCTATGCTTTATTTCAAATAACTATTCTTTGGAATACTCAAATAGGATATGACAATTCATTTGAAAACATGGACAATTAATGCTTCCAGCTATAAGCAATTTTCTCCTTCTCAATAATATATTTTTTATCATTTCAATAAGAGCAATATTCTCAAGTCTTCATGTCATAAAAGAGATGTTGACTCAGAATTATCACATCTTACATATGTGAAAAACAAGAGCTATAATAGAAGCCACACACACAAATGCCACCCTTATCCAAATGTGCACATCTCGTTGATATGCCACCCTTATCACATGGTACACCTCTCCTTGATATGCAACTCTTATCCCATGGTACACATCTCCTTGATATGCCACCCTTGTTTCCACCTCAAATCTAGATAAATCTGTAGTTTTAGCCGATAATGGCCACAAAATAGTTTCAGATAAAAAAAACTTTATCTCAATAACTTCTCATAGTTCTTAAATAAACATTTCGATCTCATCTCAATATTTCTTTCAAAACAGATTTCTCATCATATCAATTTTGAAAGAAACTACAGTATCTTTCCTCAATTTAAATTAACATTTGAAGGATACAAATTTCCCATTTTTCATCCCAAATAGTTCAAAAACTGTTAAACAACATCTAGGGAAAACAACTTGTAACACCTCATACCACACATTGCATGTAACATATACTTCATACAGGAAATACATGTTTATAATCATTCAGATCCCTTAATACAAGAATCTACCAGTATGAAATACATGGTCCAAAAATCCAAAATACAAATTATTGTACTAATCAATGTTCATTAATCAAAACTATACATTATAGACAAATCTTCATGTAGATATGCATATAGAAAAATATCACATTTTCCCCTTTCCCTTACCGTCTGTACCTCCTGCAATACATATTTAAAAGCACAAAACAAGGGTTAGACCAAAAGGTCTAGTGAGTTACCCTATTTATGTTATTGCAGGGTGAAAAACACCAACACTTTGTACAAAATAACTTTTCATATATATATATATATATATATATATATATACTAGTTGTGTACCCGCGCAATACCGCGGAAGCCGTGAATTTTAACGATTTTGAAGTTCCACTGGTTTTATTTGAGAAGATTTAACGATGATATAAGTTACACTTGGTCTTTACATATTAATACAATTTGAATAAATAAAAGTTATGGTTCCAATTACAGTCTATCGATGAAAAAAATCTAATATATTTAAAATCCAACATATTTAAACGACTCCACAAATATGTTCTATTTACACCAAGAGCAAAKAATCAAGAGATCGAGAGCGAGAGTTCTAAAGCAATTGAATGGGAAATGAATGAAAGAACTTTTGATCACTTCTTCGGTTTAATTATTCAGTTTCGGTTAGTGTGCATGTCGTCACGATAAATTTTTTGTTTCATATATCTACCTTCGCTACAATATCCAAGTGCACATTTCTACAATATACAAGTGCAACAGTCGAATTTGGAGAGGCTTAAAATATGTACAAAATCAAGGGGAGACTTGATTGGTAAATACACCAGCAATGCGACAAAAAAGACGGAAACAAAACGAACACTTTAAGCTTATGCTGATACTGTTCTGGTTATGCACAATCGTCGATTTTTTGATCTGAAACAGGAAGGGAAGAAGGAGATGGGGGTGCCGTGATCATGATGCTCTGGATGAATGCTATCATCTGCAAATCAACAAATTTCAACTTCTTTAATCCTTACAATGGAACATGCTTAGAGGCTGTTTAGTGTTTATTTGTWGCTTAATGAGGTTTATGGTCTGAAAATCCTTAGTGGTTGCATCTTGTGCCATGTAGAAAGAACTATGATTTTTTTTTACCCAAAACTATATATTTTATAACATAAGCACTCAATGTCACAAAGAAGCATGAAAACTCCCAGAGTGCTCAATGATTTTGTGAGAACAATTAGATATGAATAAGAAAAAAATGTTGTCTCCATAATGCTAAGTAAAAAAGAAATACACATAACTATCAAAAGCAACATGAATGATATCTTACCCCCACGAATAAATACAGTCACARCCCTTGAATTTGCACAAAGCTCAATATGAAGCATCCGATCTTTTGTGGTACCAAATGCCTTCTCTCTTACCAAACCAGCCTGCCCATAAAGAAGATAACTATATTACATTAGGATGCACAACCAATGTCAAATGTTTAAGGGGCCGTTTACCAAACACTTASCCGAGTAAGCGCTTACCAAGTCACATTACCTCACCGGATGAATATGGTAAGGACTTAGAATCTTACCTGGTAAGAGCGAGACAAGGACCATGAGTCTTACCCGGTAAGTGAGGGCGACGACTCTTACCACTGTAAGCGCTTACCGGGTGAATTGTTGCATACAATGTYGTTTTGATGGATTAAAATCTTACCCGGTAAGTAAATAATAGTATTAAATTTTACCGGGTAAGTGTTTGGTAAACGACCCCTAAGTAAAAGTGATACCACATACTACAACATGAAATCTAATGTCATAGAGCTAACAAAGGACACAAAGTTGTGGAAAAAGTATTATAATCTATACCAATATTTAGYTATTCGACACAATTATCAGAATGTATGATTTTTCAGGTGAACATTCCAAGCTCAAACAATGAACTTGCTTGTGCACAGGCTTTATAAATGTTATAGCAGACAAAKATATGATATATTGGTTTTGTGGTAGAATCTTTCACAAGAGAGGAACCCTTTTACATTCTTAATAATATTTGCATATACAAGGACAAATAAGGTAATGTTGTTGCTATGTGCATGGCAAATMWGCATAACTTATTACTCCACAAATCAAACCTATTTCATCCTTTGAACATATCAAGATGGAATGCATAAAAAWTTGATACTGAAAAAAATTCAAAATCACTCGTGCAACAACAACGCTCTGCAGTTTATAAAAAGATTTATTTATTGATAAATAATCAATAATTCGGCTGAGAACTCTTAGCCGCAATCATACCTAAGCAAACCAATACGGTAATTGTTTRTCATGCCTTACCAACAAAGGACACAATAACAAGCATCACAAACCTTATAACCAGAACTCACATCAGTATATCTATGCTCCCAGAGTATAAAGAAGTAAGGACAAAACATGAATCAAAATTACCTTTCCTAGCTTTTCAGGTGTTAGTTCCTGGAACCTGGGAACAGTTCTACCACCTGGACAAGACGAAAAATAGCAGCAGAAAATAGGTATTCAGCAACTATAGTAATAACATATATTACACAAAAGTTAGTTTTAAATAGCTAATCAGTGACCACAAACCAGTTGCTGTTGCTATAAGCTCCAGTTCTACCCCACCAACCCATCTAACAGCAGGCAAGTTTCTRTGCATTAATAGGTGATTGGCTTCATCGTCAAAGCCCCATTGGCAAATAACCAATGTAGCCCCTATATCCTGAATCAAGTAAAGGTCAGACTTATTAGGGCATGAAGTTCTAATAACCAAAGTACGGATTATATAGCTCAACTGTAACATGTATCAACTACCACATAGACCAATATCTGGAGACTGGATATGTTAACATTAAAATTGTCATCTTACCTTGCATCTCTAAACCATGTCATCTCAACGGTATCAATATCAACCTTATGCTTGGTCTTAGGCTTTGGAGGCTCAAATGGACAAGTCAAATGTCAGGTGAAAGAGCTCATATTTATAGGGGTGCATTTCTTGATTCATTATAGAAAATTGAAATCTTGATTCTTCATTATAGAAAACTGAAATCTTGATTCTTCAAAAGATTCTCTATAATACATGGTCGGGTTGAATGTCATTTCATCATACAAAACTCATAACTGCTGTTGTAATGAAACTGTAGTTGGGATCAGAAACAACAATCCTAAAATCTCCAGGATGAAATAGTCAAAGGATGAAGACCCCCATTAGGTCACCCTCATGTGYAGGTTTCTCCCTGGTTCTAGTCTTCTAGATCAACAGATATGATGAAGTGCATACTAAGAGGCAAAGCAGAAGTACCTAGATGGAATATATAGCATTTCATTTACTTGATCCAAGCAAGTATTCCTTGTGTCGATTATTGAAATTAAAACTTGGTGCACCATGATACAATCCTGAAAATACAGAAATTTACCACTGCCAGATAGAGACGAAAGAAAGGAATAAAAGGACAGATAAGAAATCAGCCTTCAGATCACAATATTCCCTTGGTTTAGCACAGCCAATGACTGGATTACTATTTTGAGTATTACCAGTATTTATCTAGGTATTATAAGTTGTTCAAAATCACTGCAGCAACAACAACTCTCTG